GAGGGGGGGGGAAGCAGGGGGGGGGGAGGTGGAGAGGAAACAGGGGGCGGGGAGGTGGAGAGGAAACAGAGGGCGGGGAGTGGAGAGGAAGCAGAGGGCGGGGAGGTGGAGAGGAAGCAGAGGACGGGGAGGTGGAGAGGAAGCAGAGGGCGGGGAGTGGAGAGGAAACAGAGGGTGGGGAGGTGGAGAGGAAGCAGAGGGTAGGGGATGGGCAGCCTTACTTCTTGATCATATGCTCGTAGATCACTGTGGGAATGAGGGTCAGGGTAATGACATTTCCAGCTGTGGCCAGAATCTCTGTGATCTGTTTGTCCTGAAGAGGAGAGTAAGTGGTCACCCTGGGGACCAGGAATAGCTCTGCAGCCCCTCTGTGGGGGTCAACATGGTTGTTGCTACATGACACCATCCACACTGTAGCTACTAGGCTGCCTGTAACCCTGGGCCCCTCAGATAGGGTACTGTTCATCTCACCTAAGGATCTTCTGGGCATGAGAATATGCCATTAGCCTCCTTCCCTTTGAAGGCCAGTAATGTAGGCCTGACACACAGCACTGTCCCTCAAATGTGATTCTTCAGTCCCTTCCAGGGGATTTCCTATCCCACTTCTCTGGCCCCAGTCATGCTTAGGCATGAGAGATACTAGGTACACCTGAGTCCTCAGGCTCCTGCTGGCCCAGCAGCCTGAGTCAGACCATGGGTCCTCTTTCCCATGCCTTGCTGATTGGTAAAGAGAAGAAAGCTTGTGGAAACTGCTTAGATTGTGGGGAGAATAACAGATGGAGTATCTCCATGCAAAGTGTGTCTACTAGTTCAATGATTACTTTGGTGATAAGCCTCTGACCCCTACTTGGGGCCTGGTGACCAGCACTTTGCATTTTTATAGAATCTGGTTGTGTGCTTTCTTAGTTGTTCCAGAATAAATGGGGGAAGAGATGCCCAATGGGGCTACTGATGGCCATAGGGTGGACACAAACTTTGAAAAAGATCATTGATCCCAAGAAGGACAGGTGCCTGGTGTTGCTTAGGAGAGAGACAGAGCCAGTCCCTACAGGTCTTACAGTGTCATGGCTAAGCAGAATGACCCATATGTTCATGGTGATACCTTGTGAAGATGTGAGTACCACATCCAAGCATGGCCCATGGTCTAACAACTCTAATTCTTTCGAAAGAGGCAATTCAGCCATGTGCCCGCACCCTGGCTGCTCACAATCAGCAACCACTCTGTGTGAGTCAATCAGCAGTACAGTACTCAATGTTTCAAGTACAGAGGGCAGTCTTTGGACTGCCATGCCTGACCCCAGAGAAACAGGAGAAGGTACACCAGCAGGGAGCCAAACCTGATCACAGTAGTCACAGCCATCAGAACAAGTCTCCATGTGAGGTGAGAGGAAACGGCCAGGGACAAGGAAGCGGACAAGTGACAAGTGCCCTCTGTAGAGTAAGGGCCACAGTCTGCCTCCTAAGCACCACAGGAGAGCAGCTATCACTCCACATCATGGGATGGAGAAGCACTCTGGGTGTGGTGACTTGAAGTCAGGATAGAGCCACTTGTTCGAGTCTCAAACCACATAACTTATCATTGCTCATGGCCCATTTCCAGAAGCCACCTCTTATCCCAGGTCCACAGCACAGATTAGGAAGTCACTTGCACATTCTTGCTTTGTAAAGATAAAGTCACCTACCCTTCCTTGAAAAATAAACCAAGGTCAGAAATTGATTTCTGTATCAAACTTTTCTAAAGGAAACTGTTATTGAATGTGATAGGCACATAAACAGAAGTGCCTATGGAGTGAGGGAAGTCCATGCCAACAAGAGCCACTTGGGTGCTCATGTTCTCACATCACTACACCCCTCTGTCACACCTTTGGTGTGTGAGGACATGGAGAAACACTGACTGAATACTGATGCTGTGTGCAGAACTCCTGGCACCAAGTCTTACTAAAGCTCTCAGCAACCTTAGGATGGGGAAATTGAGGCTCCAGTAGCGTTCACAGCTTATGCAATCAGGAGCCTCTCACCCCCATCATTTTCACAGTGCCCACAGTTCCTGTCAGAGCCATACACACTGCCTACCTTTAGCCCAATGACATTCTGTCCGTTCACCTCACACACACAGTGGTTGGTGAGAAGTCCATTGCGGGCCGCAGAGCTCCCCTTAACCACGGACACTACCTTCCCCTTCTTGATGAAGAAGCCAACTTGGCCTGAGCTGTCTTTGTGCATGGTGACAGTCCGTTGGAATGGCCTGGTGGAAAGGGACAGTTAGGCCTGAGGGTGTGGCTGGGGCTGAGCAGAGAGGATGCTGGGACCTGACTACTGACCTGTCCCGAACAACCATGACAATCTTCTCTGCTGAGGCCTTCTTCAATGCCCGGTGAGCTTTCTGTGTACTCCACCCTGCACAGTCATACCCATCGATTTGCAGGATCTGGTCCCCAAAGCGCAGCCCCACTAGTGATGCAGGAGTGTTGGCCTGGACCAGCTGCACAAACAGCCCCTGGGAGGCAGGAGCCCAGAGTCAATTCCCTGGTCATGTCCCCAGGCTCCTCTTCTAAGTAGTTGTTTTCCCCATACTCTGTGAGCCTGAGGTATAATGAAACTAACAAAGGTTACCCCATTTTCCTGGAGAGGAAACACCCTAGGCCACAGGGAGTAAGCTGAGTCAGGAATTCAACATCTGCAACCATTCTCCTGCACTGTCTCCCCAAGTCTCTGGCTGGCTTGGCTGCCACTGTCTACAGTCTCCAGGAAACCAGATCCATGGGAGTTGGGGCATAGAGAAACAGGGATTCTGATTGACAGAGGCCCTGTAGGGTACAGGAGGAGGATCCCTGCTGCAACTAAACATGCTCTTGAGGCCTTGGACAATGAGATGCCTGTTTCACACCTTCCTTGCTGTAGACAGGGGCTCTTTGAGCCCTGGGAGGAGAGGGCCCTACACACTGTGCCATCTGTGGCTGCTAGGCAACTACCTCCGAAGCAGAGCTTGTACATCTGTGAGTGTGATAGGTGCTATCCAGCACCAGAGGGGCGGTCTTCCAGGGGCTCTTTACCCAAGACCTTGCTTACCTTGTCAACCGCCTGCAGCCGCAGCCCAGTCTTGCCACGCTCGTCCTTGCACAGGTGGATCTCACGCACTCCGGGCTTGATCTCTGCACGAAGCACACCCAGATTGTTCCCAGACACCGGTGCTACCACCTGATTGGGCCCAGGGCCAGCGACCACCATCTGCAGACACCAGAGAGGGCAGGTCAACCAGGCATCAGGGGCCCATGCCTCAACAGTCACTAGGATGCAGGCAGGGATAGACAAAGGAGAATGGTACCGTTCCCGGCCCTCGCTTCCCAACGCCCACCCCCACCCCAACACACACCACACACGTTCTTTACAGAAGCTGAGAGGGAACGTAGCTTGATGACTCCACTAGAGGGCATCAAAGTCCACATACCTAAAAAACTGTAAGTGGGGAAGTTGGGATACCGGCAGAGGGCCCTCATTTTCCAAGGGAAATTAATTTCAAGAAAAGATCCACTTAATATAGAAAAACATTCTCACAGTAAATAGCAATAAGAGATAAAAATGGCTTGATGTGATATTTTATTGAAATGATTTCTAAGATTTTATTTGTATTCGTGGTATCTGTGTGTATCTGTATGTACAGGTGCATGCAGGTGCCACGAACACCAGAAAAGGACGTCAGATTCCCCTAAAAAAACAGCAAACACTCTGAACTGCTGAGCCATCTCTCTAGCCCCTTATCTTGAAAATGATTTGAGCCAAAAATAAAAATTAATGAATGTTCCTCCTAGGATACAGAAAAGACAAGAATGTTGATTCTCACCATTCTATTAAAGAGTACTAGAGGATCCAGCCAGTGCAACGAGGCAAGGAAAGCAGGAAGATGCATAGAGACCAGAAAAGAAGAAATATAACTAACTGTTCCTATTGATATGACAGGAAATCTACAAATTCCTAGATATAAATAAATACATTCATCAAAGTAATAAGAGGCCATGTCAGCATACAAAAATCGATCGTGCTGGGCATGGTGGCATGTACCTGGATTCTAGCTGAGGCAAGAGCAAAACTTGAATGCAGGAGCTTGAGATCACTCTAAACAACACAGTGTGACTTAATTGTACATCTATGCACTACCAAAGAACAAGCAGAAACTGAAATTAAAAGCATGATAGTATTTCTAATCACCCAAAACAGAGATATGTATGAACCCAACAAGCCACATTCAGAGATTGTATGTCGAAAGTGACGAAAACACAGATAAATGTTAACAGAGACCTAAGTAAACAGAAGATTTTCTATACCTATGAACCAACAGAATTAGCAAAGTCTTCAGCTCCTCAGACTGACACAGATACAGTATGTTTTTATCAAAAGCTTTGCAAGCTGTTTTGGAGATACAGCAAGGTTAATCTAAACTTTAGATGGATAGACAATGGATTAGGATAGTTAAATCACTTCAGACAAAAAGGATAAAAAGTAAGGAACCACGCTAGCACATCTCAGAGTTACTTCTCTAGCTAAAGTAACCAAGGCAGAGTGATACTGGATACTTGCATCAATGGGCAGACTGGGAAATCCAGAAACAGACTCACCCAGGGAAGACAGTTGCTTTGTGGTAGAACAAGAGCAGTCTGGGGGAGAAAGGGCTATCACAACAAGTGCTGCTGCAGCCACCGACAGCCAGAGAAAAGATATGAATTGTGATGTGAACGTCACACCTTTTCCAAAAATGGGCTCAAAATCTATCGTAAAGGCAAATGAAAAACAAAACCATAACATTTTCAGAAGAATTTAAAAGAGAATATCTTTAGAAAACAAGGCTTGGGGAAAATTCTTTAGATAGGAAGTCAAATTGTGAATTACAAAAGAAAAAATTGATCTTACCAAAATTAAAAAAATTTTGCTCTGCAAAAGACCTTGTCAATATGATAAAGAGATAAGCTAAAGATATTCCATATTTACAAATCACGTATCTGACAAAGGACTCTAGACTATATAATGAATTCTCAAAACTTAACCTTTAAAAATTAATTAAGGGGGCTGGAGAGATGGCTCAGTGGTTGAGAGCACTGGCTGCTCTTGCAGAGGACCTGGGTTCGATTCCCAGAGCCAACATGGCAGCTAACAACCATCTGTAATTCAAGTTCCAGGGGATGTGACACCTTCTTCTGACCTCCATGGGCATTGCATGACAGGAGTGCACTGACATATATGCAGGCAAGACACTAATATATGTAAAATAAAAATAATAAATAAAATATTAAAAATCCAATTAAGATGCATGAAAAGATGGGGTTGGATATGCGGCTCAGTCAGTAGAATGCTCACCTAGAATGCACAAGGCCCTGAGTTTGAGCTTCAGCATTACATAAACTAGGCATGGTGGGGCACATCTGTAATTTCAGCACTTGGAAAGTAGAGGCAGGAGGCTCTGAGATTCAAAGTCATTCTCAGCTCCATACGAAGTTCAACGCGAGCCTGAGCTACACAAAAGAAAGACGATGGGAGTGGGGGGGAATGCATAGGAGATATTTAACCACACTAGCCATTAAGAAAATGCAAGTGAAAAACCTGTCATAACTAACGACAACACCAAGTGCTGGTGAGGATGGGACACCAGGTACTCGTGCACTGATGACAGGAAAGGAAAAGGACACAGCACCTCTAGAAAATGGTCTGATCTGACAGACGCCTTAAAAAACAAACATACATTTATTGTATGATGTAGCACTTATACTCCAGCCATTTATGCCAAAAAGGGGAATTCATGTCCATACAAAAACCTGTACAACAAACAGCTTTGTAATCATGAGAAACCTAAAGTTGTCCCTCAATAGGTTAGATGAACACTTGTATTACCATATCATTTCTCACCAATTAAAAGGAATAGCTGGATGGGCTTGAAGGGTAATTGCTGAATGAAAAGTATCAATCTCAAAAATCACACAGGGACTCACCGGTAAAGCATCTGCTGTGCAAGCATGGGTCCTGAGTTCAGAGTCCCAGAACCCATATAAAAATCGTGGTACATCATTGTACACCTGTCATGCTAGTACTGGAGAGGGGGAGACAGGAGACTCACTGAAGCTCACTGGCCAGCTGGCTTAGCTGAATCTATGAGCTTCAGGCTCAGTGAGAGGCCCTGCTGCAAAAATAAAGGTGGAGGAAAAGAGCAATAGAGAGAGATGCCTGACATCAAGGTCTCATCCGCACACACACAGACAGACAGACAGACACACACACACACACACACACACATACACACACACACACACACACACACACACACACGTATGAAGTCTGTTTAAATGGTAAGACCAAGAGGGAAGAAAGTTTGATGTTTGGTGCCCACCTTAGGCAAGAGGCAAATACCTACATTGGTACCCTCTGGAATCTGAGGCAGGTTCTTCTGGACTTCTTGGCTAGAGAGGGAAAGACCCATATAGCTCTCTAGTTCTGCCAGGTTTGGGTACAAAACTGACGATAAGAAAGAAGAAAGGTGTTACTTGGGGGCCTGTGCTGAGCCACCCTTCTGGCCTACTGACTCATTTAAAATGGAGCTAGGAAGCCCCATCACCAAGTGCACCCTGGTCCCTGATCATGCCACATGTCCTGGGAAATGTTTGCCAGTGGCATAGGCCATCTCTGTGGAAAGTCTGAAGCAGGAGCAGCCTTAGACACTGAGACCCTCCCACACCACTGTGGTATTCAGCTAAACTGGCTTTGGGTGCCACTCAGACATCTAACACAAAGCCAATGCAGGTGCCAGAACATTGGGGACCACAGGTCATGGTGGGGGGCATCCCAAGGAAGATGGCAGTGCACTGGGGAGAAGAAGCAAGGGCTTTAGTTCAAGCTTCTCTCAAAGGACTGACCCAAGCCTGCTATAGACTCCTTTAGAGGCCACCCAACCATTTGATATCCCCAGATGGCCTGCCCATGGTGGCAGGCACTTAATGCCTCACTTAAGTCAGTTTCTTCAATGTCTCCCCAAAGGGGCCTGATAAGGGTGAAGTATATGTAGAGCTCCCACAGTGGCAGATGAGATGTGGGCACTAAGAAGTGGCCAGAAAAGGCTAGGTCACATCCTCAGGGTCAGTACAACCCACAGACATGGGTGAGGAGGGCCTGGCCGGTCCCAGAAGAAGGAGCTTCAAGTTCCTTCCAGTACCTGGGCCATAGGCCAAGCAGTACTGGTGTATGTGGCAGGGGTGAGTCTATCATGGTATGAATACTGGGGTCAGACTCACCTGAAAGTGGGGGAGCAGAAGCTACTGGAGTTGATAGAGTCTGCATCCTGGGTGAGGCCTGGGCCTGGGCCTGAAAAAGAATATGGAGTCACTCAGCTGTGGTTGGAGCCTGGGACGTCTGAGGCAGTGGACTCTGGGCATTGAATGTGTCTGAATATTTGGGGTGTCGGTGTGGGGGGGTGTCCTGGACTCCTCCAGGCTTCAGGTCCTATGCAAACGTGGCCTCTACATTGTGTTGTATGAAATAATACAAACACAGAAAATCAAGTTCTACAGCTGCTCATGTCAAAACTAAAAGGATGCTCTCAATGTAGAGACTGAAACCATGATCATCAAGGCCTAAGAGTGAGGAGACAGGAGGAATGGAGAGAAGATGGTTAAAGGGTTCAGGGAAGCACTTGGATAGGAAGAGTAACTTCACGTTTTCTGTACACAATAGGGCAACTCTAGCTCACATTACATTGTTGACTATTAATATTTCAAAATAGTGCAGAGAGGATTTTAAATGTTCCCAGCATAAGAAACAATACCAGCCTGAGGAGATGGATATGCCAGTTACCCTGATCTGATCAGTATGGTGTGTACACAGGTTGAAATGTCACAGGCACCCCATGAATGTGTACAGCCACTAGGTATCAATTAGAAATAAAAATGTATATATTAATGGGGGTATATATTTCTGGAAGGGGGTTCTCTAGGGTTTGTGGCCAACTATTTGCTGCCCATGGCAACCAGAGCATCAAAGCCTAACTCCTAACCAAGTTCTCATGGAGAAAGGCCCAAATTCCCAAAGCCTTCTGGGATCATAGGGCAGTAAAATGGAGGAGGAAGAGGCTATTAGAGGCTGAGCAGGCTGAAGCCCATGCCCCTGGGTTTCCTAGGGAAGCTGATTGGGTCTGCCTTCAGGGGATGGAGGAGATGCTGAGACTAGCAGGCCTGTGGCTGTTTGGCCTTTTGACTTCTGCAACTCTATGGCCCAGTCTTCTAGACACCCTCTCTACCCAGCAGACCCTGTACTGGGTCCTGGGGCCTCCTAGGAATGCCCAAGGGCTCCTAGTATCCATCATCCCCCCAAACAAGCCTTAGTTACTAGGGTTAATCCCTAAGGCCACCATCAGGGAGCCCAGTTAAATGGGATCTGGTATCTTACCTGGATAACTTGGTCCACCTTCAGATCCTCCAGAGATGGGTACAAGGTAGTCATGACTGTTCTCTGAAGTACCCTGCAGAGAACAAAGGGTGAGGAGGGATGAGGATGCAGCTCCCACCCTCCTGAGATCTGTGATCCCAGTACTGAGACCATCACAATGAGTTACCATCTCAACTTAGAGATTGGGAGCCAGGATCTGCACCAGTCTGTTAGATTATCAAACTCATGGTCTCCACCCACAAAATTCCATGTTTGCATGACCCTGGGCCTTAGAATCTGTTGGAGGCCTCTGTTATGTGAAGTAGAAGCCTCTTCATATCCGGATAGCTCACGAGCTCGGAAACCATGTGCTGAGACTCCTTTCATAGCGGGGTGCCTTCCTGGCATTTTTCCTGACTCTCCTTTTGAAGTGCCCGCCACAAATGCCATAACATAAACATGGCCTCTGGCTCTAGGAATACCATGCTTTCCTGTGTGATTTTTCAGGTAGTCAGCAGTCTGGCAGCATGGCAGAAACCCACTTCCATATGCAAATAGAATGTCTCACAAAGTGTCTATCAGCCAAAGCTTTTACCATTACCCCCATGGTATAAATATCCCAGTCTTCTCTCAATAATAGAGAGCTGGATCACTTGAAGCTACACTTAATAAAAGCTGTGACACGGACTAAGCAGAGTCCCGCGTCTTACTGGCGATCCAGCCTCTCCGGGGGGCAGAATTCCTCCGTCACCGGCTCACGGATCCCAGCTTCAGCCGCCTCGTACTTTCCCGTGTGTTCTAGCGGCCGGTGGAACTCGCATATTGAGGAAAGTACACGGGTGAAATCAGGGCGGAGACACGACTGGACAATGATCCAGCAGCAGAGGCCCACAGACACACGGAGAAGCCTGCCAGGCCAGACCCGCCTTCTTCCACGGTGCGTGGCTGAGACCAGGGGACCGATCCCCGCGCCGCACCAGGGTGCCCAGCGTGCACGCACTATAAGAATCCAGGCCCAGGGAACAACCCAGGACATGATGGCCAGAACAGGCAGGACTGTGGGCTACACTCTCCCCTGCTATGTGTCCGATGACCTAATGAGATTTGCTCATTCAGGTCCATATAAGGAATGTGCTGCATACAAGATGTTGGCTGGGAGCATGCTCAGCATCAACCCCAACACCAAAAGAAGCTTGGGATTTAAACAGGCAGAAGGGCATGCTAGAGTCTTCCCAACCCCCACCTCCATTTGAGCTGCACTGTATACCACCCATTTGTGTTATCCTTGGCAACTTTGTGTATGAGCATGTGTATGCCACGTGTGGGGGGGTGCCCACAAAAGCCTGAATAGGGCATTGGATCCCCTGGAGCTGGAGTTGCAGGGGGACCTCTCGAAGAGCCATTTCTCTAGCCTCTTTCCTGGCAACTTTTGATCTTAGCTGAAATGAAGACCCATGGAAAACATACATACAGAATAAAAGATATTTAGTCAAGCATGGTATACATGCCTTTAATCCAAGCACTCAGGAAGCAGAGGCAGGTGTATCTCTGTGAGACTGATGCCAGCCTGATCTACATAGCCAGTTCCAGTTCACCTGGGGCTACAGGGAGACCCTGTCTCTCTTTCCCTCTCTCTCTCATATATATATATTTACAAAGCTGGGTATAGTACTGCGCCCCATTAATTCCAGCACTTGGGAGGCAGAAGCAGATGGATCTGTGTGTGTCTGAGGTCATCCTGGTCTACATAGCCAGTTCCAGGCCAGCCAGGAATACACAGTGAAACCCTGTCTCAAAGAATATATATAATTACAAAACTCTATTAAATATCTATAATGACTTTTTTAAAAACATGCATATATATAGTCTGGGGCTGTAGTTCAGTGGCAGAGCATTTGCCTAGGATGCTGAAGGCTGTAGGTTCGATCCCAACACCACAATCTTCCCTCCTACACACAGACTGGAACATTTGAGAATTGGGCCACAGAGCATAGGAACCAAGGGTGGAAGGGCACTGCACATGCAAACACTTCCTAACTGCCTAGGATAGAATCTGTAGAGCCTCTAAACAACGTACTCAGAGACGTTCAGTCTCAAGAAATGTATCATTTCCTTCCCAGGTGAAATGTAGGGAGGGAGCTTTTGTCCTTCTGGGTTCCTTCCCTTTATACAGTTAACCCCTGGACCTGTCATACTTCCTGCCCTCTGCTAGGCAGTCCACTCCAGCTGGATGCTCCCTCCTGCCTCCCTATCATGTCCCTCTTGCTGGACAAGCCTCCCAGAGAGAGGTCATTGCCCCTGTCACCCTGAGTCCTGCCCTCCAGGACAAGCTCTGAGTCATGCACCCACCTTGAACTGTTCAATTCTTCAGTGTCTTCCCAAGTCATTTATATTACAAAGGGTCAAGGTATGCCCTTTTTGCCAACATGTGGCAGGAATGCCAGATGGTGGCACAGGGAACTGGATGGGCAGTATCAGGGTGATACAACAGCAGCCCCACTGGTCACCTGAGTGACCCACAGGTACCAAAGACAACCTCTGCACCTGCTGCCCAAACCCATGTTCTCCTTAACTCCCATCCCCATCATCCCTCTTGTGCCACCCAGTCCCCTCATCCACATGCTCTATCATACAGACCTCATTCATCTCCCTGTCCTTCCCCAGTGCCACAGCATCCCTTAAACAGGCCACTGCCTCCTCTTTTGCTGTTCTCCAGACAGTAGCCACTGGGCCCTTTCAGCCCAAGGCCAGGATATTTATTGTCTCTGCTTAAAGCCCCCCAGTGGTGGTACCTTGGAACCTAGACTGTATTTCCTAAAATGACCCATGAGGACTCCTGATTCCTCCCTAGCTTGGAATTGGTGGCTCAAGGGCCAGAGGTAAAGAAATTGTATTCGGCAATGCAGAGTACTTAGCATTTAAATTAGCTACCTAAATGTGGTCTAGATGCTCTGTTTAAAAGATTCCCACTACTCCTGGAAAACAGGAAGCTTTAGCAACTGAGGCTGTAGCTAAGCAGTCAGACTCTGTGGTGACTCATGGCCCCACCACCTCCCACTGTCTCTTCCCCCTAAGCCACTTTGCTCCCTGGATTGAGTCCCACTAGTTTTTGTTTGTAACCTTGGCCTTACTCCCCAACTCCACTTCTTTCCACGTGTCCTTTCCCCAACCCCTACATTCAACTTCAGCCACAAGGAGCTACTTTCAGATACCTCAATGTCACTCTCTCTTGTCCCTCAGCCTTGGAACATGTTAGTAACTGTTCAGAATACTCCTCCAACCCCTACTCCTTGCCCAGATAACTCCTAATAATTTTCAAGTCTAAAACCAGAGGGTCCTTCTCAGGAAGCCTGCTTTGATCTGTGCTCCCTATGGCATTCATCCCACGTCCTTACTCCTGTTTATTCATTACTCCTGTAGTTGACTGTGCTGGTCCTGCTGCTTTGTTAGACTGGTGTTAGAGTACCAAAGATCCCCAAAAGTTTAACTGGCCAAGACTATAAAAAAACACTAGTCTATCTGTTGGAGGACCTACTTTTCCAGTCTCACTGGTCAATTACCTGGTGATAGGACCACTCCTAAGAAGGCAGGTTCACCTTAAGTTATGCTCAATAGATGGATGGAATACTTCAGACCTTCTGGACCAGCCACAGTCATGTAGGTCTCTGTAAGTCTGTACGCTTTCCTGAAATCTTCAGGAAGGTGTAATTTCTCCTTTTCTTCTTCATGCTTTTCTTACTAAACATGCTTTCTCTAAGGCTTTGGGCTGCCCCTAGCATCTTGTAGTTCTTCACTTTTTCTCTCAAGCTTCCTTCTCCCAGCCATGTGGCTACGAGTCAGCCATGTGTCTGACCGCCATGCAGGCTCTAATGTAGGACCCTGAGACCCTCTTCATTCACCCGCTACCCCCCAATCCCTCCAGACCCCCACTAATTGCTCTTTTAGCTTCTGTAAAATGCTTGGCTGCTGCTTTAGACATGCCTAGACATGCCCTGACCCCCGCCTGCTATTCCCCACTTCCTGTCCAGGAAACTATAGATTAAGCAAGCCCGAGCATGAAAACTGCCCTATAAGGTAAAAACGGAGACTCCTGGCCCCACAGATAACAGTCAGTGCATTCCACAGCCCTAAGAATAGCACTTAACAATAAGAAACTTCCAGGGCTGCATCTTATACATCTAATCAGTTTAAAATTATGTTGGCACGTGCAGGCTCCTTGAACCAACCAAAATGTATCTTCGGTATCCGCCCCCTTCTTTGTCTAAAACCTATAAAAGTCTCCACTCTCCCTTACTCTGGGCTCTCAGCATGGATCCGCTGAGTTGGTGAGGTCTGAGAGCCCGCAAGCTTAAGCCCGAATAAACCATAAACCTTTGCTTTTGCATTTTGGTGTCTTGGGTCCTTGGTGGTCTTTTTGGGGTCCAGTGGATAAGGTACAACATTTGGGGTCTTGTCCGGGATCCCCCCCAGAGACCCCCGAGAGGAACCGACCCCAAAAGGTTTGTGATCAACCGGCCGGGTAAGTTTTTGTAAAACTGTGTTTGTCCGCCTGTCTTTTCTATACTTTCCCTTTGGTCACGGCCATCTGATCTCAGTTTTTTTGTCACTGGAATGCTAGCAAGGTGCACTGGAGGATTCGGGAGACGTCCCCATCCTCGTCGGGGTGGGCGTTCCCCACCGGACACCCCACCAGGACACTAGTCCATCTGAAACTTCAGAGGACCCTGTGACCCTGTTGGGACGTGTGCATCCTATCCGTATGGTCTTTGGCACAATCGAGCCAGGGAATCCACACGGCCGAGAGTCCAGACCATCTGAAAGCCACGGTAGTTTATTTTGGGCCCTCTGTCTGTCTGTGTCGTTCTTGTGTCTTGTGGTCTTTGTTCTAATCTCTTTGTTGATGAAACAGACGGGACTGATAAATACTATGGGCAACACCCCATCTTCCCCTCTAGATCTTACACTAGTCCACTGGGGGGACGTTAAGATGATTGCCCATAACAATAGTGTAGATGTAAAGAAAAAGAAATGGACAACTTTATGTTTGGTTGATTGGCCCTCCTTCAATGTTGGATGGCCCCCTGAAGGGACTTTTAACCTGAGTTTGATTTCCAGGGTAGAGGAGCACGTCTTCCACCCAAGGACGGGCCACCAGGACCAGATCCCACACATCGTGACCTGGCGAGGCCTCATCGAACAACCCGATGGCCCCCCCGCCTGGGTCAAGTCCTTCCTTCCCCCGATTAATCCAACTGCTCACCCTCCATCTCTGCAGGTCCCCCCTCTCAGACCAAAGGCGGAAGA